CTAGGCCATCATGTCCGGTTGTCCAGTTATGTCCTGTTCACAAACAGCAGGGCTATCCAACAAGGCCATTTACTGCCCTATCAATCTACTCTTGATCACTAGCAAAGTAATGGAAAGGGTGCTGACATCACGATATTGTGGCACTTACTCAATTGCTCAGTTTTTGGTACCCCTTTTAATTGCAACATTTAAGTAACATTTAAACATGAACATTTAAACTTTTTCTCCCACTTCCTCAATTGTAACCTGCTCACGGATGTTCAGTTTGGGTTCTGCCAAGATTATTCAGCCTCTGACCTTGTTACAACTTTGATCCAAAAAAGAGCTAAACTCCAGAGGAAAGATGGAAGTGGCTGCCCTTGATATCAAAACAGAATTTGAATAAGTAAAGCATCAAAGAGCCCAAGCAAAACTAGAGTCAGAGAATCAGGGGAAAATTCTCCACTGGTCAAAGTCATACCTAGTACGAAGGAAGATGTTTGTGGTTGTTGGCTGTCAATAATTTCAGTCCCAGGGCTTCACTGCAAGAGATCCTCAAGGTTGTGTCCCAGGCCCAACCATTTTCAGCTGCTTCCTTAATTACCATCATAATCTTCATCATAAAGTCAGATATGGGAATGTCTGCTGATGACTGCACTATGTTTAGCACCATTTAGGATTCTTCAGATACTGAAGCAGTCCATGTCCATGCACAGCAAGACTTAGACAACATTCAGGCTTGATAGTTGGCACATAATTGTAGCATATAAGAACATTATTAGAATTTCAGGCCTTTGATCCAGCTTTGCTGATTATGGTTGTGGCTGATCTTCAATACCATTTTCTTATGCAAAACCTGTTTAAGGTCTACAATCTTTAAAGGAGACATTAACAGGCTTTATTAAACATAATTATTCAGTGTTTGGTGAAGGAGGGTATCTTCTGGAATCCTACTAGCTCCAGTTCTATGTGATCTGATACTCTTATGACATAAAAACTAAAAGAACTGCCGATGCTGTAAATCAGGAACAAAAACAAAGTTGCTGGAAAAGCTCACCAGGTCTGGCAGCATCTGTGAAGGAGAAAACAGAGTTAACGTTTTGGGTCCAGTGACCCTTCCTCAGCACTATTCTGAGGAAGGGTCACCGGACCCAAAACGTTAACTCTTATGACATAGTTCCTTCCATGCATGCTCAGTAGCCATTCCTGGAGCTATAGAATAAAAATCCATTTACTCTACATCTCCCCACCAGTCCGCAAGTTCTTTAGTGGTACCCCTTTTAATCGCAACATATAAGTAACATTTAAGCATGAACATTTAAACTTTTTCTCCCACTTCCTCCCTAACCCCAATATGTCTCTTTCACTTGGGGCATTAACTTCCCGTTGTTCACAGCTCTTCACGAGGTCATGTCAGCTGCATGTTCTTCTGTATCATTGTTTGGGAGGGTGAGCAGAGGCAAAGTGGGAAGCCAGCTTCTCTGCAGCTGCTGAATAACGGTTTAATTTACTTTTCCATGTAGCTCTAAGCCTTTTTCAGATATCCTAATTCTGCTGGTTATTCTGTCATTAACAATGGCTTGCTTGTCTATGGCATTCTACAATAAACTTAGAGAAATTTATGTTCTTTCTCAAGAAGTGTCTTAAAGTATCATGGGTGTAAACAACCAAATTAACTGAGCATTTCAAGAAGGTAACTCACTGGCACCTCCTCAAGGGTAACTAGGAATGGGCAATAAATGCTGGCCAATCAGAGCAAGACTAACACATTTAATGGTAAGGTCCTGGGAAAAGTTGCTGAACAAAGAGACCTTGGAGTGCAAGTTCATAGTTCCTTGAAAGTGGAGTTGCAGGTAGATAGGACAGTAAAGAAGGCGTTTGGTACGCTTGCCATTATTGGTCAGTGCATTTGAGTATCGGATTTGGGAGGTCATGTTGCAGCTGTGCGGGACATTGGTTAGGCCATTTTTGGAATATTGCATGCAATCTGGTCTCCTGCTTTAGGAATGATGTTGTGAAACTTTAAAGGGTTCAGAAAAGACTTACAAGGATGTTGCCAGGGTTGGAGGGTTCGAGCTATAGGGAGAGGCTGAATAGTCTGGGGCTATTTTCCCTGGAGTGTCAGAGGTTGAGGGGTGACCTTATAGAGGTTTATAAAATCATGAGGGGGTCAGCTAGGATAAACAGACAAAGTCTTTTTCCCAGGTTGGGGGAGTCCAAAACTACATGGCATAGGTTTAAGATGAGAGGGGAAAGATTTAAAAGGGATCTGAGGAGCATTTTTTCACGCAGAGGGTGGTGCGTGTATGATATGAGCTGCTAGAGGAAGTGGTAGAGGCTGGTACAATTACAATATTTAAAAGGCATCTGGATGGGTATATGAATAGGAAGGGTTTAGAGACATATGGGCCAAATGCTGACAAATGGAACTAGATTTATTCAAAATATCTGGTTGGCATGGACTCTATGACTCTAAGTCAGCAATGCCCATATCTGATGACTGAATGAAAAGAAAGCATGTGAAGTGGGTGGATTAACAGTTTCCTGCTGTGAGAAAAGAAGTTCAGTCTTGAATGATGAGAGGCCCTTCTGAGGATACAGACACCCATAAAATACAGATGAAAGACACCTGCAGCCAATACACAGTATGTGAACCTTGGTCTACTGTGTGGACTACAAATCCTTGTCTCAAGCACTCTTGACCATATCAAGCAACTGTACGAATTAATCCCTCTAACTGCTGTGCTGTAATTGCAATGTTTGGCTACCTATTGCCTGGCCTGGCTGCATCCCACTTTTGCTTGGTGAATTTCCACATGCTGAGCCTGACTCTATGCCAACCCCTAAAACACACATGGTGCAAATATCTGAACTGGTGACTGTGAGTAAAAGGTCAGGTAACAGTGTCCCCTCTACGCTGTCTTTGGGTTGCATTTTCTCATATCTGTTTGGACGCTGAGAAGATGAAAGTTCTTAACAAACTGAAAGCCCAAAGGTATAAAAGAGAGGGCTACTGTAAGGACCATAAGAAAATAAGAAATAGGTGCAATAGTCGGCCATTCAGCCCCTCCAGGTATAGGATCATTGCTGATCTGCCATAGGCTTCAAATATTCTTCCTTGCCAGTTCCTCAAAACTCTCATCTCCTAAATATTTCAAAAATTCATCCACTTCTTCTTTAAATACTTTTAGTCATCTAACCTCCACAACTCTCTGGGATTGAGAATTCCAGCCATTCTCTACCCTCCGTGAGAAGAAATTCCCAGTTTTAAATGACTGTGGCTTTATTCTATATCCTTATTCGAGATTACTCCACTAGCTGAAACATCTTTTCAACATCCACCCCGTTAAGCCTTCTCAAAATCTTGTATGTTTCACCCCCATTCTTCTAAACTCCAATGAACAAAGGCCTAACATAGTTATCTATTCTTAATGTCAATGTCTTCATCCCAGGAATCAGCCTAGTAAACCTCTTTTGAACTGCCTCCAATGCCAGTACATCCTTTCTTAAATATACGGACCAAAACTGAATATAGTATTCCAAGTGCTACTTCACAAATATCCTGAACTATTCTAACACGACTTTCTATTTCTAAATTCCAACCCCAAATAATAAAATCCAAAATTATATTTGCCTCAATTATTTGCTGCACTTGCATGTTTTCTTTGTTATGTTTTGTTCATAAGAACCGCCATACTTGGCTGTGTTGCACTTTGTGGGAGGCGCTCTCCATTTCTTACATAAAACTCCATCTCCAACTGCCAAATTTTTGTCCACTAACAGAACCTACTTATATTGCCTTGCCGGTTCCTTTTGTCCTCACCAATAACAAGTCCTCCCATCTATTTTTGAATCATCAGCAAATTTGGATACATTACACTCTCCCGCTTCTCTAGATCATTAATATAGGGGTCCTGGAATGGATCCTTGTGGAACATTATTACTTACATATTTCCAACATGAAAAGGACCCATTAATCTCAATTCTCTGTCTTCTGTGTGTTAACCAATCCTCAGTCAATACTAATACATTACCCCTGCTATGATGAGATCCTTTCTTGTGTAGAACTTTAACGAATGCCTCCTGGAAATCCAAAAGCACTACATCTAAGGTTCTCCTTTATCAACTGCTTGTTATATCTTCAAAGAACTCTAGAAAACTTGTCAAACATGGCTTCCCTTTCACAAAAATACGCTGACTCTGATTGATTGTATTAAACTTTTCTAAATATCCTGCTATTTCTTCCTTTGACCTAGATTTTTCTCAACAACAATAGAGTCACCCAGTTGACCACTCTAGTGAAGCCATTAGCCTTTCTCAGCACCATAGCCTTGTCAGCATGACATCCTGGGTCATGTCATCTGTACTCACTCCCTACTGTGAAGGTTTCATGTCACTGGTACAAAGAGGGCACCTCTACTGGCTTCCATTTGTGACACCAGGGTCTCCAGAATAGCCCAAACCCTGCAGCATTCCTTTCAAGCAGAGTCTTCAACAGGAATTATCAACTAACCTTCACTTTATTCATGCAGCTGTACCTTTATAGGAACTGCTCCTTTAGAAATTAAAGCAGCCTAGAGTACATGATTTGCTTGCAATTCTATTTGAACCCCTGTGGTTTGCATAAGCTGTCAATAGTTTTATGGAGAGAAAAGCTACATAGGATCTACTCGGGGCTATACTACAATTGTTCAAATCAGGTCTCAAAGCTCCATCATAATCAGCGTGGGCATGTCAAGGATTGCAATTTCAACTTTCAAAACCAGAAATAAATGACCTTCTACCACAATATGATTTACTGAAAAATATAACTTGAACAGAAAACTAGAAATTGTCTTCTCTCTTCAGCCATGTTTTAGTAATGTCAACAATTGGTCATTTACTTTTATTTTACTTCCGACAACATTCATGCAAAAGGACAGCACATCCATTAATAATCAAGCTGTAACATTCATAAAAAATTAAAATTATATTTAAGATAAAGATTTGCATTGCTAATACATAAGAATGTTGATAATGATTACGTACAGTTTTGCAGAAAAGTCTGGCGTAGAGAAAGATGGGGCAGTATCATAACATAGTTCACACTGTGCTTCTTTTAATGGTGGTCCATTAAGATGCCTTTCCACTTAAAATAAACAGAAACTCCATTTTAAACAGTGTTAATTGCAATATATTCTCGAGTGTAAATAGTTTGGAACATTCAGATAAAGTTCATCCAAGCTTTAAAAATATCTGCTTCCTATCAACGTTGCAGTCAATAAATAATACCCCACAAATACAGAACTCTCAGTTCAACAATATAATACTCCTTTAATGCAACAGCCAGAGGTTTAAACATTGTCAGCAAAACATAATATATAGTTAGTGCTGTTGAACAATACATTTTTTTTTAACCATAGCTGTAGAGTGCAACAAAGCAAGCAGATTAAACTGCTTGTAATGGCTACCAATATAAAGTTATCCAGTGTTCCTAATCTGATGCTCAAACTCACCATTTAGTCCATTGCCTCACCTGTTAGAAGTGCCAATGTACACACTGACAATAATTCATTTTAGGTTAAATATTATTGGCATTTCTTTAAAACTTGAAACAAAGAGATTCAGCCACTGCTTTCGCACCATTGTATTTTAGGTGTGAGCATATTTAGCAGCGAATTATCTTCTAAGATTTGATATTGTCTGTAAAACTTGAAACAAAGTTCATAACTGTAGCAACTGAATGATTATTGTTAGTTTAGCACTATCAAGATTCATTAGTCCAGGAATTTGCACGAATAAGTATAAAGAAATCTTCCATTAAGAAGTGTAGTCCGGCAACAGACCTGGAAGCAGGAGTCACTTTCATTCAGGGATGGGGCGGGTTGTTTTTAACGCAATCATGGTTCCCAGGATTTAGGTTTTTGCATAAGTAAAGCGGGAAATCTAATAGGGTGCTGTGGAGCTGGTAGGAAGATCTCACCCCAACTAGGATATTCTGGGGGAGAAAGGTTCCACACTTGAAGGACACCCAGATGGCAATCACTCACTGCAAACTCAGAAGATCAATTGGCCTGTTTTAATTTTTATGAAAAGAAATATTTAACCTATTTTTCCCTAATCAACCTGTTCAAAGGTATTATTACACTTCTCTGGAGCAGGTAGCACTTGAACAATTGCCTTCTAGTCCAGGGGTAGGGATGCTACCACTGTGCCACAAGAGGGTCCCCAATTAACCTGCATTATTGCACACCCCCATATCCCATACCTGTCAGAGATTTTAAGTCAAAGCAAAGGATTGTACCTAAGGTTTAGTAATGCATCACTGGCTGTTCTATTCCAGGAAAGTGTGAGTTCCTCTTCCACACAGAGGCCTACCCACCATCTGACCAAGGCTGCCTGCACTAAGGTAATAACGTAAATGTAAATGGGGCCCTTGTGCCCCAGAAAAGAATGAGGATCCATGCAGAAAGAAAATGAATGATCTCCTGTGCTCTATAACATCTATTCACTGACTAAAACTGACACTGATAACAGGATCACAAATTCCACTGTGCCAAATCAAACAGGTGTCAGATATGCGAGTCTCAGCACCACATTGGACAGGAGACAACTAACTCATTGCATCCTTAGTGGGGTTGCTCCTCATGACTGGCTGTGAGTTGTGATCAATGCTTTGGACACAAACAGTTTATTATTAAAAACACCTTACCCAAGCCACTTTGTTGAATTTGGTTTAGAATCTGCAATTTTATTAACAAAAATATGCTTTCTTAAAATCACCATGACCATTTCCCAAATTCCCATAATATTTACTGTCTATTTATCTCTTTCTATCTGAGAAAGGATATTACCGCAACAATCCACATATTTAAGCTGGGCCGTTGGCATCTCCTTCTTCCCTGAAGTAGGGCCGGTGCTCTTATAGTCATACAGCATGGACACAGACACTTCATTCCAACTAGTCCACACCAGCCATGTTCCCAAACTAAACCAGTCCCACTTGCCTGCGTTTGGCACATATCCTTCCAAACCTTTCCTATTCATGTACTTATCCGAATGTCGTTTAAATGTTGTAACTGTACTGGCATTCACCACTTTCTTCGGCAGTTTGTTCCACACACGAAGCATTCACTGCATAAGTGTTGCCCCCTTTTTAAATCTTTCTCCTCTCCCTTACAAATATGCCCCCTAGTTTTGAACTCACTTACCCTCGGGAAAAGACCCTCACTATTCATGTTATCTATGCCCCCCATGATTTTATAAACCTCTATAAGCTCACACCTCAACCTTCTACACTCCAGTGAAAGACGTCCCAGCCAATCCAGCCAATTTTCATAACTCAAATCCTCCATTCCTGGCAACATCCTAGTAAATCTCTTCTGAACCTTTTCCAATTTAGTAATATCCTTCTGATAGGAGGGTGACCAGAACTACACACAGTACTCCAGAAGAGGCCTCACCAATGTCCTTTACAACCTCAACATGACTTCCCAACTCCTACATTCAAAGGTCTGAGCAATGAAGGCAAGCATGCTAAACACCTTCTTAACTGCCCTGTCTACCTGTGATATAACTTTCAAAAGATTACGCACCTGAACCCCTAGGTCATTCTGTTCTACAATACTACCCAGGATCCTACTATCAACTGTATAAGTCCTACCTTGAAGGTGGGTTGTGCAGGGGTCAGGGCAGATCTTCTTTCTCCTTCTCTCTCTCTCTCACCCTCCAGGTGGTTGTAGCTCCAATGGTGGATCAGGATATGTCTCCACTGATAGGGTGGCATTCAGGTGTAGCTTCTTATTCCCTTTACCTCAGATCATCCAGAATGTTCTAAGGTGCTTGGCCAATGGAGTCATGAGCTAGGTTCAAATTATCCAATAAGCTTGCATCAACACCCTTCACTGTTGCCATACCAGGAGGTGTAAAGTGCACGTACTCAGGAAGTCAAGATGCCAGAAAGTCTGATCGACACTTCTTCAGTACACAACCCTCAGAATGGATGTAACTGGTTCGCCTTGAATCTTTATAATCTCTTTGGTCTTGGTTTCCACTGTTCTCTGTAGTCAATAGCTGTTGGCTGCTGTTTAATTTAGTTTGGCTAATTTTCTGTCTGGCCTGATTTCTCCAGTTATGGGGCAATTTAGAATGTACAATTTTGGGCCTGTGGAAGCTTGACCACAGGGGCCTTGTCCTTCCTCTACCGTCCTTTTGGCCAGTGATGTGTCAGTTGTGCCTGGTTCTCTGGTATTTCTGCCCCTGTGTCCTCCATTTTGGTGGCTGTACTGTGGGCTTTCTGAAGCAGACTGTGGTTGGGCTGGCGGGCAGCATGTGGGAGCTGATCGGTGTTGTTAGCACTGGAGGCAGAGGATGATGCCACTCTGGTCTGGACGGAGTTCAGTGGTTCTCCTGTCTTGTTAAGCCAACAGAGATATGGGGTGTCTGCTGTTCCAGATAGCACCAAGTGGAGTGGGCTGCCAAATTCAATCATTGTCAATACCCAGCAGGCCACAAAAGGAAATGGAGAGGTGGCTGTCCAACTCAGCCAAGGCAGTTCTGTTGTTTCTGGAAATGTGCTAGAGGTAGTGGTAGCCTGCACAGCCTTACATGGGGATAGCTGCTGTATGGCAGGAGGCAGATTGCAGCTCCAGTGTGTCATCTGGGCCCTGGGTGACTGAATTCCTGCTACAGAAGGGAGAGGCCTCAAATCAGAGGAAGAGGTTGCAGCAAAATGGCACCAATTGGCTCAGGTAAGATACTGTAGTCAACAATGATAAAACATATCTCACAACATTCAACAAGATTTCTGTTCCTAATAAATTACCAACATTAAAGACAAACAATGCTAAAAGGGGCAACTTTAAATGTAGACTTCCTATGTAGAAACCATTATTAATAAATGCCAGTAAGTCTGCTTTGGTTTAAGCCAGTTCCTACCACATTCTTGAGCAGTTAGAGGTTGGTAACAAATACTGACCTTGCATTGACATCCACATACCATAAAAGGCCTTTTTTAAAATGTAAAAAGAACAAAGTAGTTAAAGTAAACATAAGCATCTTAAATGCTGAGGCAAGAGAAACAATAACGGGAAATGCCAAGATAATACATTTTCAAGGGTTATGGGGATAAGGCAGGAAAGTGGAGTGGAAGATTGCCAGATCAGCTATGATCTCATTGAATGACAGTGCAGATTCGATGGGCCAAATGCCTACTTTTGCATGTTTCTGGATTTTGTGTGAAAACTTACCAATATGGTCAATTATATACTTTATCTGTATATAGCTTTCTCCAATAAACAACAAAAAAAATTTGTTTATACTCACAGATATGCAAAGCTGATTACATGGTTTAAAATATGAAAGTATAAAACTTTAAGAAATTTTCTCTTCAAACATGAGAAAAAAAAGCACCTTGATCAAACACTCGTTAATTCTCAGAGAATTAAAAGACTATGATGTAAAATATTTCAGATGGCTTTCCATCTGGCATCTTTGCACACATAGACAGGTCAATAAGCACAAAGCGTTATCACCGGAATCAGAATAAACCCTGTAGTTTTAGATCTGCTTCTTAAGTAGAATTGTGAAATTGCATACTTCTCCGGCTAAAAATTGATCAGTGAATTTCAGAAGTGAACTGTTAAAGACTTTATTCCCATTATACTGTTCACCAGCCAGCTTCTCAATCTGGTTCCCATATTATTAAATTTGATCTGGCATTTCTTATCAAAGAGTGCTATGCAATGGACAAGTATCCTTTCCTAGGGATGGATTTTAAGTAGCGCCCCAGGGTACTGTCTTGCGACCTTTATACATTTTGCCATATGTAAGTGGTCTTCCAAACAATTTAAAAAACAGGTGTAACTATTTGTAGATGACTGTGTTGTTTATGAATTAGGGGAAGATGCAAGATGATCTTCTGGAAATACAAACATGGGAGGATAAGTGGGAGATGGCATTCAATAGCTCTAAGTTCTTTAATCGAATTCTCCAACAGATAGATGCACAATCATACTTGAGGGTTTAGCTTGAAAACCATCTTCAATGGGGATTCCACATTCATTAGGATTCTTGTATTTAGAGTCATAGAGTCACATAGCATGGAAACAGACCCTACGGTCCAACCAGTCCATGCTGAACATAATCCCAAACTAAACTAACCTAACCTGCCTGCTCCTGGCCCATATCACTCCAAACCTTTCCTATTCATATACTTATCCAAATGTCTTTTAAACATTGTAATTGTACCACATCCACCACTTTATCAGGAAGTTCATTCCATATGTGAACCATGCTCTGTGTAAAAATTTTGCCCTCACGTCTTTTTTACATCTCTCCTCTCACCTTAAAAATATGCCCTGTAGTCTTGAAATTCCCATCCTTGGGAAAAGACAACTACATTAACTCTATCTATACCCTTAAATTATTTTATAAACTTCTATCAGGTCATCTCTCAACCTCCTACACTCCAGTTGAAAAAAGTCCCATCCAGCCTTCCTTTATAACTCAAACATTCCATACCTGGCAACATCCTGGTAAATCTCTTCTGAACCAGAACTGGAGACAGCATTCCAGAAGAGGCCTCACCAATGTCCTGTACAATCTCAACATGACTTCCCAACTCCTATACTCAAAGGACTGAGCAATGAAGGCAAGCGTGCCAAACGTTATTTTATCCACCCTGTCTGTATGCGACGCAAACTTCAAATAATTATGTACCTGAACATCTAGGTCCCTCTGTTCTACAATACTACCCAAGGCCCTACCATTAATTGTATAAGCCCTGCCCTTGTTGTTGTACCAAAATGCAATACTTCACATTTATCCAGATTGAACTCCATCTGCCATTTTTCAATCCATTGACCCATTTGATCAAGATCCCTTTGTGATCGTATAAAACCTTCTTCACTGTCTACTATGCCACTAATTTTGGCGTCATCTGCAAACTTACTAACCATGCTTTCTATATTGTCATGCAAATCATTTATATAAATGAAAAACAAAAGAGGACCCAGAATCAATCCCTGTGGAACACCACTGGTGACAGGCCTCCAGTCCGAAAAGCAACCTTCCACCACCACTTTGTCTCCTGCTGTAAAGTCAATTATGTATCCAGTTGGCAAGCTCACCCTGAATCCCACGTGACCTAACTTTACTAATTAGTCTACCATGCGGAACCTTGTCAAAGGCTTTACTAATATCCAAGTAAACAATGTCCACTGCTGTGCCATTATGAATCTTTTTGATAACTTACTCAAAAAAAAACTCAATCAAGTTTGAGAGACATTTTTTTTGCAAAAAACCATGCTGACTGTCCCTAATCAATTTTTGCCTCTCTAAATGTCCATAAATCCTACTTTTTATAATCACCTCCAACAATTTATCCATAACTGAAGTCAGACTCACAGGTCTATAGTTCCCCGGTTTCTCCTTACAACCTTTCTTAAACAAAGGTACAACATTAGCCACCTTCCAGTCATCAGGCACCTCACCCTTAGTTATAGATGATGGAAATATTTCTGCAAGGGGTCTTGCAATTTCCTCCCTTACTTCCCACAATGTTCTGGGATACATTAGATCAGGTCCCAGAGATTTATCCACCTTTATATTTTCGAAGACCTCCCGAACTTCCTCTTCTGTAATGTGAACTGTTTTTAAAACGTCAAATTTTATTTGAATGCATTCTCTAGACTTCATTTCTTCCTCCACAGTTAAAAACTGACGCAAAATATTCATTTGGTATCCCTCCCATCTCCCGGGGTTCAACATAAACATGATGATCCATGATCAATAAAGGGCTCTACCCTCTCTCTAGTTAACCTCTTGCTCTTAATGTATTTGTAGCATTTCTCTGGATTATCTTTAATCTTATCTGCCAATGCTATCTCATTTCCCCTCTTTGCCTTCCTGATTTCTTTCTTAAGAATGCCCCTACACTATTTATATTGATTAAGAGATTCAATTAAACCAAGTTATCTATATCTAAAATAAGATTCTCTTTTATTCTTGACTAGAACCTCAATATCTTTATTCATCCAGTGTTCCTTAACTTTACCAGCTTTACCCTTCACTCTAACAGGAACATAATGCCTCTAAACTCTCGTCATCACACTCTTGAAAGCCTCCCACCTGTCAGACGTCCTTTTACCTGTGAACAGTCCACTCCAATGAACTTTTGAAAGGTCTTGTCTCATTAAAATTTGCTTTACTCCAATTAAAATCTTTAACTTTTATGAATTTTTGGTATTGGAACAAAAATATTACTGAGGTGTGGCTTATGAAATTTGTTTGTCCAAACCGGTAAAATCAAATGGTGTGTGGGATTCCCATATGGTGTGAAATATAAATAAATTGACGTGATAAAAGACATGCTGCACAAATCAGGATGGCAAGGAGACCAACACCACGTAGTGTCATTCAGCCCCGTATGGAAGAGTTGGCCCTGCGGTCCAACTCTTCCATGCTGACCAGGTTTCCTAAACTGAATTAGTCCCATTTGCCTGTGTTTGGCCCACACCCTTCAAAACCTTCCCTATCCATGTAACTGTCCAAATGCCTTTTAAATGTTGTAATTGTGCCCACCTCTACCACTTCCGCTGGCATACTTGATTAGAAATTTGAAATGGGAATCACTACAGCAACAGAGGTAGTAAAGTATCATGATCAATAAAGTATGGAATAGACTGGTGGGAATTGAGAAACACAAGTACCTAGTACCCTCCTGCAATGACAAAACATAAAGTAACTATCCACGTAACCTACTAAGACCATTTATTTCCAAGACCATGTATCAACAATCTTTCTTCTCAAGGGCAAAACTGCAGTGTAACGATAACATAAAGTGCTGGAGAAACTCAGCAGGTATTGCAGCATCTGTAGGGACAGACAGAATTAATGCACCGACCCAAAATATTAACTCTGTTACTCACTCCACAAATGAGACCAGCTGAGTTTCTCTGGCACTATGTTTTCATTTCAGATTTCCAGCATCTGCAGTGTTTTGCTTTTACCTCAGTGGAACAAGCTGCCAAAGGAAATTGTCACAGCTGCATAACTTGAAATCTTCGAGACATATCTTTAGATTATTTTCATTTGAAAGCTTTCATTATCAGCATTACCATTTCTTCAGCAGATTTCTGGTTACCCATATAAATGTTAGTCGAACATGGACATTAGTTAGTCTGTCGTAACACAACTAAAGTAGAAGCAGAAACCAGACTACCTTGCTAATTGTTCACTCTTTTCTAGAGCTGACCTACATTGGTTCTAGGTCAAGCAATGTCTTGATTTTCAAGTTGCCATCCTAGTTTTCCAGATCCTATCATGGCCTCACATCTGCCTAACTTTGTAATCTCATCCCGCCACACAATCTCCTGGAAAATCTAACTTTTCTAATTACAACCTCAAGAATATCTCCTGTTTTAACCAATTCAACATTGCTGACCATGCCGTTAGCTGTGTCTGGACCAGCAACTGGAACCCCTTTTCCAAACCTCCCCACTTCTCTACCTTTCATTCATCCTTTAATATACTCTTATCTTATAACAGATTTTGGTCATCTGACCAATATTTCCACCTGTAGCCTGGGGCCATACGTTTTTAATCTGTTAATGTGATGTGGTCATCATTTGCTAAGGCAGCATTTACTGCCCATCTCTCATTGCCCTTGAGAAGGTGGTGATATTTTGCTTTATAATACTCTTGTGAAGCACTTTGGGAGGTTATGTTTCGCAGAAACAGTAGTGGGCAGAAAAGACAATGAATGATGCGCCAGCTATAAGATAGATAAGAATGAACCCTTTGCTCCAGTCTACAACATTGATAAGAGCCATTTTGATACTATGGCAGGGATGGAAACCTGATTGGACAAATTTAAACTTAGAGTTCTGAGAAAGGTGGACACGGGTTTAGGAAGCATCAATAAGTTCACAGACACTAGATAGGAAAGGGAACATGGAGATGGAGGGGGTGTCATTGTTTGCAAGTGATGGAATCAAGGGTTTTTTGAGGAGATAAGTGACGATATCAGATATCAAGGAGAGGGACAACACCTAAAGAAAGAGAACAAAACTGGCTAGTATGAGGACCAAGAGGGTAAGTTAAGTGGTCAGCAGTTGTCAAAATACGTCAACAGAGTTCAGAGTTCAGAGACAGTTGGGGGGAGATGGGAGAAAAATTGAGCAACAAGTTCAGGGACAGGAAAATGGAAACCTTTACAGTAAGTTTGAACTGATGAACTAGCTTAGACACAATAGAGGCAGTTGATTAAAAGCTATCCAACTCAGACAAAATCGCTCATGAGCATTTTGCACTTATTGTTAGAAGTTTTGATGGAGGAGACAGGGGTGAGTGGTTTACTAAGACTGTGAGCAGAAGAGAAAAGATAGCAGGGGGTTATTTTAGCATTCCAGGGTGATCCAATAATTATTATCAGTTTCACAAAAAAAAAGAGCAGGACCTTATAGCACTTTATGAGCTCCAATCATATTTAGTAATGGATGCAAAACCATTTGTGTGATGTATCCTTTCAAGTCTTTATTGCTTAGATTTAAAGAAATAGACATTAGGAGTGTAGCAGGACGAGAGAGTGGGGAATGGTTTTGTTGGGTCTATTGTGCAACATGGTGGCGAGTGTGTGGTTCAACAAATTAGTAGCTAAGAAATGCTGTAATGCATGGAAGAGCAAAGGCAGATAATTGGAAATTTGAAAATGTAGTTCTAAGTGAATTCAGCAAGTCTTTTTCAAGCGTTGGATACATTTTAAGGGTAATGGGGGTATGGAGGGAGACAAAAGGAATCTGGTGATATATGGAAAAAACCAGAGTTGACTTTATTGTTATTGATAACACAGAGTAGCAGGTCCATGTGAGTGGCCATAAATATGGATTGGAGAATTTACATGGAATTTTGAGATGATCCAGAGGAAAGAGAACACAGATTTTTTCACTAACAATAGTGTCAAAGATTATCACTGGTAAATGAGAATGCGATGTTGAAGTCACAATCAGATAGATAATCCATAATCTTATTGAATTGCAGAGCAGGTTTGAGGGACCAAATAACCTACTCCTGCTGCTAATTCTTATATTCGTGAACATGGTGAGGATGAGAGGATGTAGAAATCACTGAGGATGAGAAGTGTTTCCGTGTAGAGGATAAGGGAGGGAATTTTTATTGTACTTTGGAAGGTGGTAGAGAATGATGATTTCATGTAAGAGGTGAGGGGTGAAGCCAGGAGAAAATGTCAGCAGTGCAGGGGGTCAGCCAGGGTGAGATTTGATGATAAGCACCATATAGACATTGTGATGGACTTGACAAGGTAAGTAGTGGAAGATTAACCAGATGGGATGCCTTAATTGAGGAAATAGGTACCACACCTCAATCAGATTATCATCAATACTATGATGTGACAATCTGTGTGGCAACGAAAGAATCAACAGTTATGCAGTAAAACATTTTTATTCACAGATGACATTGGAGAAAAGTGAAGCATCAAATGTATTCTATATGACAAAGAGCTGCTGATGCCAACAATGGACTTTCAGAGCTGCTGAAGTTTAATTCCATAATAATTAGCAGTCTCAATTTCATTAGCACAATGTTCTGGAACTTTCCTTCTTTTCAAGGAAGAAAAATAAACCGTGTTTTACTTCCTAATATTAGCACAGAGTAAACATATCTCTGTCTCACAGTACCATAATGCAGCACATACCCAGGATATATCCCATTGGACACTGACATTTTCCATGATTATCTACAATGGCACCTGGAGGACATCTAATACAGCTCCATCCATCTTGGGTGACTGCCTTGAAAATAAAGAATTATAATAATTACTAAAATACATTTTAACAATTATACAGCCATGAGAAAAATATGAAATTAAAATACATTCATGGAATTTATACATGTACTTTGCTTTTGCCTTACACTCCAGAAATTCCTCCTTAAATGTCTTGCCTTTTCCATACTTCCATTCTTTTAGGATAGTTTTTTTATGGAGAACAAAAATGGGCTCTGTACCTGTTTTTGAACCTATAAGGCCTCTTCAGATACAAAAATTGTTTGCACACTAGGAAACGTTCCAGATATAATACTTCTAAAGGGGCTGGTACAGGCACCATCATGTTGATTTGACTCTTGCACTGTCATTTTGAACCTCCATTTAAACCTATACCATGTATTAAAACATCACACAGCTGGACATGCATTAATCAGCATGAAGGAGTCCAACCAGCAGTACCTAAAGTGATTATGAATTACATACAGATTAGTTGCTGAGACTTCCTCTTACGCTATAATAGATTCCAATCTTCAGACTCACTCCATATCCTATCCAGAAACGGCTAAACATGCAGGGCACAGCAAAAACTGTGGGACAGGCAACATTGCAGCTGTAGAATTGACAACTGTGCACTAAAACTAGCCATCTCCCCGGCCAAGCTGTTGCAGTACAGTTACTACACAGGCATCTACCTGACAATAACAAAGATTGCCAAGACACGTACAATGCCAAAAAGTAAGTCAAATTGACCAATCACCCAATCGGTCTGTTCTTGATCATCAGCAAACTGTTGAAAGGAGTTGTTGATAGTGTTGTCAAGCACCACTTACTCAACCACAACCTCTTCATCAATGTTTAACTCGAGTTCTAACATTCAGCTCCAGACATTATTACGGCCTTGGATCGCACATTAAAAAATGATCTGAATTCCACAGGTGAAGAGGGATCAACTGTGCTTGACATCAAGGCAGAATTAAAAATTAGTACAAAACATCAGAGTTCAGATAAAATAGTGAAGTGATTTACTTACTGAATATATAGCAGGGCATTTTTTACATTTAATGAAAGGCCCACCATTGTTCGAGACTAATTTGTAACCAGGAAGACACACACACGATGTACCTGAAAGAAGATAATAAAGTTTTTGGTCAAACCAAAAGCTACACAAAAGACAAACTTCTATGGCAAAGCATATGGGAATCACGATCCAATTTACTGTTAAGGTGAACAGGAATCAGCAGGCAGTATATACACGAAGTATAACACACAAGCAAGCTTCAGTCTCTTTCTTAAAGTCACTTTTTTATGGTTTGTAATATTTTAATTTTTTATTATTTATTGCAAAACTTAGGGTTATTTGACAGAACATGGAAGCTTTTCTCTGATAAGGTACTGGAGTCTAAAGCTGAAGTCCCGTACCTGCTTTGAAGTATAGTTGTAGTATGACAACTTTACATTGGTAGTTTTTCTTGCAAATGTGGAAATGTAAATTATAATTGAGACAAGTTGCCAAAAATGTAAACCAGGAAAAGAAGTATTGTGTTCAGAAAGTGTGCACAGACACAAATTATTCACTTATTTTCCTAGTTGAAGTCCTTCGCATTGTACAGGGGGTTACTGAGAAGAATGTGGGGTTAGGAGGTGGCAGGGTGGGTGGGGGTGGCTGTGGCAGTGGTATGGCTCCAGTAGGAGGAGCGTTAAGATGAAGTGCCCTATTTGGGGCAAATGGGCTTTAGCGCAGCTTCAGGCATGTAGATGTATTTCACTTCTCATTTTAAAATCATTCACTCCTAATTCCTATATTTCCATGATAGATTTCCATATCTACATTTAATGTTAGTTATGTGAAGTTGTCAAATTGTAATTTACACTCTTCCACCATGACGACTGTACCAGTCCCACTGAATTTACAAACCTTCCTCAAAGTTTTTCATTCTGCTGTCCATTCACCCACTATTTGAGGCAGAGCCTTCAGCCACCTTGGTTCTCCTCTCTAGAGCGCTTACCCTTAATTTATCCCCACTTTTATAAATTTCTCAAAATCTGCCCTTTTAATCAAGCTCAGTGATTATCATAGTTATTTTTAAAGTACAAGCTAAATTTTACAATGTGTTACAGTGGGATCTGTAGTCATGACTATCAGGTAGCTCGCCCACCACCAGCATTAAATTAAAATTTAAACTAGCTTCCTAACCTCATGGTACTTACATTACAGTAGTTAATGGTACTGTAGTTTACTGACTTCTACTGGACTATGAATCAAGAGAGTTTGAGCAATAATCTGAAGACGTGTTCAAATTCAGTTTTCTGAATACAACTAGAGTAAAAGGGTTGCCCTTAAAGACTCCATAAGTTATTTAGGGAAGGCAAACTGCTTTTTTCTGATGAAGGGTCTAGGCCCGAAACGTCAGCCTCTCTGCTCCTATGATGCTGCTTGGCCTGCTGTGTTCATCCAGCCCTGCACCTTGTTGTCTTGCTTTCTTTGTCCTGTCTTGTCTATCTGTGAATCCAGACTCAGAGCAAGGTATTCTTTATCATTCTATTCAGATGTGTTATCACACACTGCTGGAGCAGATGGGACTTGAACCAAAGCCAACGTGGCAATGTTAATCCCATATTCAGAGAGATAGCTGAGTTGTAACAAAGCCACACAAAAACTTTGTTTTGTTGTCCTAAACTATAGAATAATTAATTTAATGGTGTGAACCATTTGCTCGGCAAGGCAATTTGATCTAGGGTAATATAGTGAAGAAGTCACATGGTTCATGCCCCATTTGGCACACATATCCTTGAAAATCTGTTGGCCCAATGTCAGAAATGTTTTTTTCAGCTATACCAAACAGACTAAATATGGCAGTCAGTATGTCTGCCACTGTTGAGCTTGAAGAGTTCTTTTTTTAAACCTGGCTTACAATTAGAAATTTGGAGAAATAATCAACAACTACAATAAAACTGTCTACAAGACCAGTGGTGATTTTGGATCAAGAGACTGAAACAATCTCATGCAGATGTTGAGGTTCTCTATGATGCTATGGCTGGTGGCTTTGACATGCGTCACATATCTTCACTAACTATTCTATTGGCCAGGGATCAGTGATGAATTGCCAGCCATCTCAGCTGCTCCATGTGATTTTGTCTTTGGTGCAGTTGTGACATGTCCTAGCAGAAAAAGCTATGAGTACAAGTACTTGTTTTCCTTTGAAGATTATGTATCTCCAGATACCAAGCTTTTTTCTGAAAGGCCAAAATCATCCATGAAGGCCTGCTACCTTTTTTTAATCATGTTGGGCCAAACTTCAATGATAACTTTCCAATGTCTTCATTTGTGAGTCATTTGCTGTTTTTGGTTGAAGCTGGTCACATCTGTGCTGATGTCCACATCCTTATACAGATTTCCAATCGGCTCAGTCTATATGCCAAATGACATTTGATTTTAGGAAATACTTAAATTCTCTGCTGGTCTATGATGGCCCATTGTCTGTGAACAACACTTCCGGGAGCATGTGTATAGCAAAAGATGCTCTCAGCTTCGCTATCGCTGTCCCCGCGTTTGATGAATGAAACTCTACGCACATCCAACCACTGTGAGTGGGTGTCCACAACGACTAAGAATGTTGAGCCCGTGAAATGGCCTGCATAGTCAACGTGTAACTGAGTCCAGGGTTTACCCCGCCATTACCACGAATGTGGGGAAGCTGCTGGCAGTAATTTTTGTCCTTGTTGGCAATCTGGGCATTGTCTCACTAATGTGGCTACGTCTGCATCCAATACTGGCTACCAGACATAACTGACATACATTGGTATGGTAGTATTCTCCTTTCGCTGTTTTCGTCTAGCTTTTACTTTTTCCTGATAGCAAGTCTCGAGGTGCTTGATACTTTCTTGGATGCTCCTCCTCTGCTTTGGATGGTCTTGGGCCAGTGATTCCCAGGTATCTGTGGGAATATCGCACTTCACCAGTGAGGCCTTGAGGGTACCATTAAACGGGCTTCCTCTGCCACTTGGGGATCTGCTGTTTTGAAACTGGGAGTAGGGCACCGTGTGGGGAGTCTTGTGTCCATCATGCAGACAGCATGCTCAGACCTTCACAGCTGATCAAGGGTGGTCAGTGCCTTGATGTTGGGGATATTAGCCTGCTCGATGACACTGCTGTTGGTGTGCATTTCTTTGTAGATTTGTAGGATCTTGCACAGGCAGTGTTGGTGGTACTGTTCCAGTGTCTTGTGGTGTCTGCTGTAGACAGTTCACGTCTCAGAGCCATACAGGATGGCAGGAACCACCACAGCTCTGTAAACCATGATCTTGGTGTTGGATCTTATGTTGTTGTCCTCGAACACCCTTTTCCTTAGGTGGTTGAAGGCTGCGCCAGCACACTGCAGGCGCTGGATCTTTTCATCAAGAGCTGCTTTGGCCGACAGGACACTCAAGGTATTGGAAGTGGCGAACGTTCTCTAAGGCCTCCCCGTGAATCTTGATCAGCAATTCGCTCTACAATGCCAGGTCAGGTTAGCGGAAGATCTTCTTCTTGCAGATATGCAAGGTGAGACCCATGCTCTCATATGCCTCTGTAAAGGTGCTGACGATAGTTTGGAGTACATCCTCTGAGACTGAACATATGCAAGCATTATCTGCGTACTGCAGCTCAATGATTTTGGTTGGGGTAGCTTTGGCTTGAAGGTGGCGGAGATAGAATGGTTTCCCGCAGGTTCTGTAAGTTAGCTCCACTCCAGCTCTACACCCAGCCCCAGACCTCCCCCTCACTGAGGCTGAACAGTCAGTCCTCAGCAAAGGACTCACTTACGTTCTCCTGTACCCACAAACGAATTCCACGCACGCCATGATGTCGAACTCTTTTTCTACCGCCTCTGCCTCCGCGCCTATTTTTGAACAGGAATCCAATCCACTCTCTAATGACCCCTTCTCTCACCTCCAGCAAACTCCATCTTCCTGGACACCCCCTTCTGGTCTCCTACCCTCCTTCGACCTTTTTATCTCAAACTGCCGCCATAACATCAATCCCTTGGATCTCTCCACCCCTCTCACTTATTCTGACCTTTTCCCATTGGAACGCACAGCCCTCTGCTCCCTTCGCTCCACAGACAACAGGGTGGGGGAGGGCGTGGTGGTAGTATGGCAAACTGAACTCTACATCGCTGAGGCCAGACACCAACTCTCTGACACCTCCTCCTACCGTCCCCTTGACCATGATCACCAAGCCATCATCTCCCAGGCCATTGACAACCTCAGCACTTGAGAGATCTCCCATCCACAGCCTCTATCCTGGTGGTTCCCCAACCCCGCACCACCTGTTTCCATCACCTACCCAAAATCCATAAACGTAGCTGTCCCAGTCAACCCATTGTCTTCGTCTGCTCCTGCCTTACCAAGCTCATCTCCTCCTACCTCGACTCCATTCTTAGCCCTTTAGTCCAGGAACTCCCTGCCTACAGTCGGACACAACCCACGCCCTCCACCTTTTCCACAAAGTGGAATTCCCAGCCCCCAACACCTCATCTGCACCATGGACGTACAGTCCCTGTACCCCCATGGAGGACTTAAAAGGCCCCCACTTTTTCCTCTCCTGTAGGTCCTCCTCCACTGACACCATTCATTTGCTTGGCTGAACTGGTCCGCACTCAAAAATTTTTCCTTCGATTCCTCCCACTTCCTACAAACCAAAGGGGTGGTTATGGGCACCCGCACGGGCCTGAGCTATTCCTGCCTCTATGTAGGATTTGTGGAACAGTCCCTCTTCCACAACTACACCAACACCATCCCTCACCTCCTTCTCTGCTATATCGATGACTATTTCGGTGTGGCCTCGTGCTTCCACGAGGAACACGAGCAGTTCGTCAACTTCACCAGCACCTTCTACCCTGCCCTCAAATTCACCTGGACTATTTCTGACACCTCTCTCCTGTTCCTGGACCTCTCCGTCTCCATCTCTGGAAACCGACTCACCACCGACATCCATTTCAAACCCACTGACTCCCACAACTACCTCGACCACACCTCCTCTCACCTACCCTGCTGAAAAAATGCTATCCCACGCTCCCAATTCTTCTGTTTCTGACACATCTGCTTCCAGGATGAGGAGTTCTACTCCAGTCCGTCATAGATAT